CTGTCCCTGCCCCTCCCCTGCCCCTCCCCTGCCCCTGCCCCTCCTCTGCCCCTGCCCCTGCCCCTGCCCCTCCCCTGCTCCTGTCCCTGCCCCTCCCCTGCCCCTGCTCCTGTCCCTGCCCCTCCCCTGCCCCTGCTCCTGTCCCTGCCCCTCCTCTGCCCCTGCCCCTGCCCCTGCCCCTGCTCCTGTCCCTGCCCCTCCCCTGCCCCTGCCCCTGTCCCTGCCCCTCCCCTGCCCGCACAGGGCTGGGCAGGGTGCGGAGGCCGCCCGACTGGAAAGCGCAGCCCTGAGCCTGCTCCTCGGGGCTCAGCCTCAGGGGAGGAGGCCTGGGGCACGGGGAACGTGCTGGCCCAGGAGGGCGTGCGGAGTCAGTGCTGTTTGGGCAGCGGCTGGCTTCCCGTGGGGGGCGAGGTGGACAGGCCAGCGCTGATGACCCACGTGCCCTGAGCGAGGCGGTGGCCAGGGCGGTGGGGCGGGAGCTGATAGGCAGTGGGCACAGGGAGAAGGCAGCTCCCAGGCCCCCTGCGGCTTTGGCCGGAACAGAGGGAGCTGCGGTCAGCTGGGGGGGGAGCGGGGGAGGAAGAGGATTCCAGAGGGATGTCAGGGTCTCATTCCCTTTTAGAGGCCGTCAGCTATCCCAGTGGCCACCCCCACCTGCCCCACCCAACGCTGTCTTGCCGTGTGCCCCCTCACCTTCATACACCCGTCCCCTTCACCTGCTGCTCCACCCCTGGGGGGGAGGGGAGGGGGAGGGGGTCACAGACTGCTCCTGAGCCCCAGGGGAAGGGGTATCCAGGCAGCCAGCCTGGTGGAGGCAGCCTGCAGCAGGCCTCCTTGGGAGAGGGGAGAAGGCCTGCAGGGGCTGAGGGTGGGAGTCCCAGGGGCCTGGCTCCTCGCTGGCCCTGGGCCCCTGCCTGCCCCTCCCCCGCGGGGTCCAGCCGCCCACGCTGCCCACGCCCTCGGAGGGTGAACCTGCGCTGTCACCTGTCTCCGGGTTTTTGATTTGTTTAATTATAGATGAGTTTTCTGCATAATTTATTCCAAAAGCCCGGATTATACTGTACAATTAAATCACATTCTGATCAACAACTCCACATATAAAATTAACAACTGGCAGCAGTTTAATCTCTGCTGCTGCATCTGCAGGCAGGCTCCCATCCCTCTCTGCGCCTTCTCCCCCCTCCTCCCCTCACCTCCCCTCTTCCCTATCTTCTCCCGCCTCCTCCTGGCCCTGCCCCCTCCCCCCTGGGGGGGCCTGTGTGGCTGCCTCAGTGCCGCCCCTCCTGAGCGCTCTGTCCCGGGGCCAGGCCTTCCTGCTGGGTCCCCATGGCTCTGCCTGCTAACGGGGGTCCTCACCCCACACCTCGCCAGAAGGCGACACCCCCTCTTCCCTCCCACCTTGGTTCTGACCTTGACCTTGCCCTGGAGACTAAGGCCTGGGGTCGTGCAGCCCGGGGGTCAGCGTCTCACTGCGCCTGTGCCCCCGCCTGGTCCCTCTGAGCGAGGGAGCAGGGGCTGAGGGGAGCCGCTGGGCACTCTCCCTCCCCTTCTCCTCCCGGAGTGGAGTGCGGGCGTTCCCGGGAGTGTGAGTGTTCCCGGGAGTGCGGGCGTTCCGGGAGTGCGGGCGTTCCCGGGAGTGTGAGTGTTCCTGGGAGTGTGAGTGCTGGGCCGGGGAGAGGGGCTGGCTGACCGAGCCCGCCCTCGGGGCTGCCGGGACGGAGGCTCCGCTCACGGCCTCTCCCCGTACAGGGCCCAGGTCTCTATCCGTGCGGAGGCCCCGGGGGACCCTCCGGGTTCAGGCACGTGGAGGGCATGGATGGCGGCCGCACGTGCCTCCTCTCCTCGCTGCCGCGCTGAGGGGCGCTTAGCGGCGCTGGGGCCCGGAGCGTCCCGGGCGAGGAGCCGCAGGTGGGCGGCCGGGGGAGGGTGACGGGGGGGGGGGTGCGGGGCTGGTGGAAGCCCCAGGGATTTGGTCCGTTTGCCTTGGACCCGGCGGGCGGTGGGTCCTCCCAGAGGCCCAGCCCTCTGCGGGGCGAGGACACCGATGCCCGGCCAGGCTCGGCTCGGGTGGGGTTCCCCCGCTGTGGGGCCCGCACTGGGACACCAGCCAGACCCGGGAACCGGCCGAGCGCGTCTCTGTGCAGGTGAGACCAATGGCCCAGCTGGTGTGGCTTCGTGCCGGCCCTGGCCCAGGGCCCAGCGGACACCGGTTCCATCCCGATGGGGCTCGCCGGGGCCTGCCCTGGGACGGGGGCACGCAGGAGGCAGCAGTCAGCGATGTTCCTCTCTCCTCGATGTTTCTCTCTAAGAATCAATATAATGCATACTTTTTTAAAACGATGAAATGAAGGGTCTGTCATGTCCTGGGCACACACAGTGGCTCCTGGCTGGGTCCGGGGCAGGTGGATGACGGGGAACCTGAGTGCTGTGCGCGGAGGGCATGGCGGTGCAGCCCGGCCTGCCCACCAGGCCCCGCACACAGGCCCCGGGGCGGGAGCTGCCCCGAGAGCCAGGAGGGAGGGTGTGTCCGGGGAGCCGGCCCTGCAGCCCATGGCAGCCCGCAGGCTGCTCAGCGGCGGGTGGGAGAGGGGAGGCTGTGCACGTGTGTGCGTGCACTCGCGTGTGTGCGTGCGTGCGTGTGCGCACTCGTATGAGTATGTGTGCATGCACTCATGCGTGCGCGTGCATCTGTGTATTTGTGTGTGCACATGTGTGTGCACATCTGTGTATTTGTGCATGCACGTGTGTGTGCACATCTGTGTGTATTTGTGCGTGCACGTGTGTGTGCACATCTGTGTGTGCACATGTGTGCGTGCGCACATCTGTGCGTGCACATGTGTGCTGGGGACAGGAAGGGAGAGCAGAATGGAGGGAGGGGGAGTGAGTGTGTGTTTTGGGTAAGAACGGGACTTTATCCTGAGAAGGATCTTCGGGAAAAATGTTTTAGGGTTGAGATAGCCAGTTTTGATGAAATGGTGGCGATAATAATAACGATAATAACGTATTGTCTGAGCAGAATAAAAATTTGACACCCATGCCCGGTCTTCCAGTTAATTTTCTTTTATCTGTGGGACCCTGGAACGGAAGACCCACAGACGCGCTGGGCAGGAGTCAGCGGCCTGGGACGGCTGGGGCTGTGCTCCCGGGAGGAGGCAGGAGAGGGGGGAGGCCGTGATGGGCTGCCTTTGCCGCTGCACACACATTCCCACCGTGCCCGGCCTCAAGCTCCGAAGGCAGAGCTGGGCAGAGGTGCACCCCTGCCGGGCGTTCCGTGTCCACCACTTCCTGGGTGGGTGAACTTGGGCAGGTCACGTGCCATCTCTGTGCCTCAGTTTCCCCATCTGTTCGTTGGGGAAGGTGGTGTTTGCCTCTTCCTGAGGATTGAAGCAAGGACGCCGGCGACATGTCGGCGCCACAGCTTGTCCATCACAGGGGTGTCCTTGTTCGTGATGGTCCCAGGCAGGAGTATGACGGGCATTCTGTCCCCTCGGCCAGCGCACGGCTGAGGTCAGGGTCAAGGTCAAGCCTAGTGCGAGGGCTGAGCTGATGGTCCCCTTTGGAGGTCAGCTCCCTGGCCTCACCCGTGCGTGAGGCCCGCCAGGCTCCGGCTGTCCGCCCACAGCCGGGCCAGGCCGTCCTGCTGGCGGCCGGTGCCGGCTCCCCCGAGCCTGGCGTGCAGCGGGTTCGGGCCCCTGTGGTGGGCGTGGAGGTGGGCCTCACGCTGCGGCCCAGTCGGCAACAAGCCGAAGCCAATACCTCGTTCTTTTGATGTTGATTTTTTTTTTTCATTTCGGTCCTGACATTCAGCTTGGCAAATTGCAATTAGTGATCCGCCCGCCTCCTGCTCGGAGTTCCCATGCCAACGGACCCGGGCACACACAATGGCACAGGCCCAGCCCCCGCCACGGCCTGGGGAGGGATGTGGGGCAGAGGCGAGCTCCTCGGACCCAGAGCGCCAGGAGGTCCTGCACCAGGTGGCCGGGGCAGGCGGGAGCGGAGGAGGCGGCCCCTGGCAGGCGCGGGGCCAGGTGCAGTGTCCGGTGCCCCCGGCTCCCGGCTGGCCCTCCAGAGGCGGGCCGGGCACCCTCCCTTGCCCCCTGGGGCGTGCTGGGCCCGGGGCGTGCTGCGTCTCTGGCAGCCCTTGGGGTCTCACTGGGAGGCCCCGCTCTGCCTGTGGGACTGGGGAGTTGAGCTGCCTTTCCAGACGCATTCGGACGAGGGGTCCTGGTCACCGCGGAGGCGCCTGTGGCCGGCGGGGGTGGGGGGCATCTCTTGGCAGCCCCTGTGCTCACCGATCGGGTCCCAGGTTAGAACCTGGCCAGGCCTCACCCCGGATACCGCCCTGTGCGTGGGTTTGGGCTGAGAACACAGGGCCACGTGACCGTCTGTCTGTCCGTCCGGTCCGTCCCCAGCTCCCTGGGCAGCATCCTTGGCGTGTCCTTGTGTGTCCTTCTCACCTCTGAGGAAGCACCGGCTCAGGCTGGGGGCTCAGGTGCGGGACTCGGGGGCTTGCCGTGTCCCCAGAGAGGGGCCGGGTGCTCTGAAAGGGCCGTGTGTGTGTGTGTGTGTGTGTGTGTGTGTGTGTTGGGGGAGGGGGTCCCAGGGAAAGTGCACCCAGGGATCAGCTCGGGTTCTGGGCGCCGGGAAGGCGAGGGCCCCCGAGCTGGGAGATCTGTGTCCGCTGCTCCCAAGAGGCCCCCTCGAGTCCCTCCCTCCCCCAGACCCCACCCCGCCCTGGGGACCAGGGGCTCCGGGCCCAGCAGGCTCCCCGCTCCCTCCCGCGCCCCCTCCCTGGCCAGTCCCCACGCCCGGCCGCTGTGCAGGGTGTGGTCCAGCGTCTGAGGTGCCGTCGGTCCTCCTGCCGCTGCCCGCAGGCCTGGGCCTCGAGGCTGCATTTCACAGGGACCCGGTGCTTGGAGGGGCGGCTGCCGCGGGCACCCCGGGGCTGGGCGGGCTGTCCGGGCACCCGGCGGCCCTGACTCTCTCCTCTCCGCACGCAGGATGCAGCACTGGGCGAGGCGCCTGGAGCAGGAGATCGACGGCGTGATGCGCATCTTCGGGGGCGCCCAGCAGCTCCGGGAGGTAAGCCTGCCGCTCCCCCTTCTCGGACCCTCTCCCACGTGGGAAGCGGGGGCTCTGGAGATGGGGCGCGAGGAGGTTTGGCGGGCCTGGTTGAGGACGCGGGAGGTGTAACATGCATGGCTGACTCCTCCCGGCCCGGCCTGCCCTCCCTGCGGTCGCTGTGCTGCGCGCCCCATCGGCCCTGGGCCGGGCTTGGCGGGTGGTCGGCCGGTGAGGCGGGTGTGCAGCAGCGTCGGGGACAGAGTCTGGGCCCTGGAGAGCCGGCGGATGGGGCCGCGCACTGAGCCGGAGGGGCCGTCCGCGGGGAGCGGGGCGAGGCGAGGACCCGGGCGGGAGGGGTGATGGATGGACCGAGCGGCACAGCCATGTGGGAGATTATGTTAATGTTCGCGACGCGGCTGTGGAGGGCGGCCATCCGTCACCCGAGGCCGCCCACGTGTCGCTGTTGGCATCCTGGGCCGTCGCTGCCTACGGGAGAGCTCAGAGGCCGGGGCCAAGCTCCGGGGGCGGCCGGGGGCTGGCCGGAGCCATCAGAGCCCAGGCCCGGCTCCGGGAGCAGATCCTCCGTGTGTCCGGCCGCCCCTCTCAGCCAGGGCCCAGGTCAGAAGGTGGGACCTCGGTGGGGCAGCTGCCGGGGGCTGCTCTCACCGTCTCCCTGCACTGAGCTCACAGCCGGTGCCGGGAGCCGGGAAGCAGACGCAGGCGGAGGACGGAGGAGCCCACGCAGGAGATGGTCACCTGGGTCCGAGGAGGTGCTGACGGGCGGAGAGGGCTCCAGGGCTGGAGGCCAGAGCCCCCCACTTGCCGGCTGTTCTCCCGAGGGGCCCAGCCTCCCAGCACCCCGTCCCCAGCCCGCTCTCCCCGCCAGCTCCCCGTCCGCGGCCGCGCTCAGAGGCCGGCCACTCTGGGCCAGAGGCCGGGCTGCGCTCGGGCCTGACGGCTCGGCCCAGTGCCGGCCCAGTGCCGGGGCGGGATGTGCCCGGAAGGGGAGGCTCAAAGCCCGGGACCCGGACTCTGCAGCTGGTTCCACCGGGTGCTGCGGTTCCCTGCGCCCCAGGAGAAGCCGGAGTCCCCGGCAGGCAGCCTCGGGCCTGTCTGGCTCCCGGTCGGGACCCGGGATGCGCCCACTGGAGGGGTTAACCGGGCGCCCTGAGTCCCTCCAGGACTCTGTCCCGGAATTCGCCCCGTGGGTCATGCCCGGACTCGGGTCTGGGTGAACCGGAGCCTCCTGGTCCCGGCCCGGGCCGGCTGGAGGTCTGGCCGGGGGTGAGGGTGAGAACAGCAGGGGCGGGCGGCACCCGTGGTCAGTCAGACTCCCTCTGCTCACCGTCCTGCCGGGTGCCCTGTCTTTCTGACGGCAGTTGGGCTGTTCCGGTACTTCCCTCAATAAACACACCTCCCCGCCGAAGCAGGTGTGGCTCAGTGGATAGAGCGTCGGCCTGCGGATTGAAAGGTCCCGGGTTCGATTCCGGTCAAAGGCATGCACCTTGGTTGCAGGCACATCCCCAGTAGTGGGTGTGCAGGAGGCAGCTGATCCATGTTTCTCTCTCATCGATGTTTCTAACTCTCTGTCCCTCTCTATTCCTCTCTGTAAAAAATCAATAACATTTATTTTTTTTTTAAATCAATAAAATATCCCAAGAAACTAGAAACACCAATCAGAAAGGATAAATGCACCCCTATGTTCATAGTAGCACAATCTACAATAACTAGAATCTGGAAACAGCCTAGGTGCCCATCAGCAGATAATTTTGGTTAAAAAAACTATGGTACACCTACACAATGGGATATTATGCTGCCATAAAAAAGAAGGAATTCTCATCATTGGCAGCAACTTGGGTAGAACTAGAGAACATCATGCTGAGTGAAATAAGCCAGTCAATGAAAGAGAAACACCACATGACCTCACTCATTTATGGATATTAAAGAACATTACAAACTGATGAACCAAAAGTCAGATATAAAGACAGTAAAGCAACAAGCAGACTGTCAAATCACTGCGGGGAGGGTAGGGAGATCTGGGGGAGATAAGAGATCAACCGAAGGACTTGTACACATGCATATAAGTACAACCAATGGACACAAAACTCTGGGGAGGGAGGGTATGAAGGGGGGGGGCAATGTTAAAATATGTACACAGATAATTTAATTAAGAAATTAATAAAAATAAAATATATTAGAAAAATATAAAAAAATAAAAATCAATAAGATATATTAAAAATAATAATAATAAATGAAATAAACACACCTTTCTCCTCCCCCTTCTCCCTACCCCCTCCTCCCCAACACCAAAGTCCCGCAGCCCTGGAGGGGCAGGGCCGGCCTGGGGCGGGCTGCCTGCTCCTGTCCAGGCTTCTCTGGGTGCCTGCCTCTTGGAAGGTGGGCAGGGTGGGCCTGGGCAGCGGGCGCTGGGCTGGGGCAGGGGCCACTAGGTGTGGCCGTGGCCGTGGCCGTGGCCGTGGCCCGCCTGGCAGCAGGCAGAAGCGCTGACCTGGCGCTCGGCTCCTCCTGGCAGCCCTCCGCCTGCTGGCGCTGCCAGCTCTCCGGCGGCTCTGTCCTGCTCCACTTTCCTCAGCTGCTTCCTCAGCCTCTTCCTCCCCTGACAGCTCCTTGGCACAGGGCACGTGGCGGGCGGGCAGCGGGAGCAGGTGAAAAGTTCCAGCGGGAAAGGGCCGCCCGGGCTGAGCCTAGGAGGGGGCCGTGTGCCCGGCCATGCCCGGCTCGGGTGGGTCCGGAGGAGGCTTGCTGCAGAGCCCGCGGACCCTGGCACCGGCTCTCCCCCGGGGCCGCCCGCCTGGGCCTCCTGAGCGGATTCTGAGCTGCCTCAGGCACCTGCAGCCGGTGATCCTGGCATCCGGGCACCGTGGCCTCCTTCCCCAAAGAGCTGTCTTCCCTCCTGCCCAGCCTCGAGGGGCCCCACCCCCGGGGGCCAGAGCCGGCGCTGGCAGCTGCAGGCGCCCCGAAACTGCCGACAGTGGCATTTGGGAGTTTTCCTGCCTGGGCGCTTTCCTCTCCAACCTCCCCACGACCGGGGGGGGGGGGGGGGGGGGGGGGCGACTGCGCAGACTGTGGCCCATTTACAAGTCGGAAAGCATCGGGGCGGTCAGGGGGGACCCCTGTCACATTTCCTCCTCTTACCCCAGAGCCAGCACATAGTAGGAGCTCCTGCTGGGGCCTGGAGCTGGGGGGCATCGCTCCCCATGCTTATGGCCAGGCACAATGCCGCCACGCCCCCCAGGTGCCCACCTCGCCGCCCGGGCCCTGCCCCACGCTGCCCGCGAGCAGGTCACAGAGGGGTGGCGCCTGCTGCAGCCCGCCCTGCCCACGGCCCCTTCCCTCCCCTCCCCCATATTGTCAGCACCATATTGTCCCCCTCCCGGGGGGAGAGCAGAGAGCATATGCTTGGGCTCTGAGCTCATTTGCATAATGAGGCTGATCAGGATGAATAATTCATCAGGTGCCTGGGGGTGCATGGGGGAGGAGGCAGAGATGGGACCAGTCTCCCCACGTCCCTCCGTCCCTCCGTCCCTCCGATGGGTACAGCCAGGGAGCCGCCTGCTCCTGGCGGGTGTCCGGGGAGCGGGAAGGGGGACGACTCTGCAGACTTTCGTGGGAAAGCCAAGCAGGAGAGATCCGGGTCAGCGTGAGGAGGGACCGGAGATCCTCAGGGGCAGCCGCCTGGGGATGGGTTCCTGGGGGGGAGACTCCGCACGGGAGCGGCGGGCGCTGGAGGGGAGAGGAGAGCCTCGGGGGCGGGAGGGGAGGGGCTGGGAGCAGACAGCTGGGCGGCCACGTCGGGGACCACAGGCCCCCCCGGAAGGCTCACGCCGAGCCTGGGTCTCTGAGGCGCTTTCTCAGGCGGCACAGCCCCCGAACCCGGGCTCCCGTTGGGGGCAGACCCGGCGTAGAGCCCAGCCCGTGTCGCTGAGCGCCTCCCCCGTGGGGCCGCAGCTCGTGGCCCTGACATGCAGAGGGGGACCCCGAGGCCCTGGCCAGTCCCACCCGGAGCCCGGCAGGCCAGCCCGAGGACCGGTGGGTGGGCAGAGGTGCAGCCCGGGCCTGCCCGCAGGAGCCCCCGGGCGGCTGAGCTCTTCCACAGAGAGCGGGGCCTCGGGCGGCCGCTCCTCCGGACAGTCGGGGTCCCGGCCGCGGGGGCCTGTGCCCGCCCCTTCGGGTCCCAGGGACGGGCATCTGAGCCTGTGCCGCGCCGCCCCCCCCCCCGGGAAAGTGTAATTAATGTTTGCGGCGCGCACATCTGGAGCGGCGCCGGGCGGGCCGGAGTCTGGCCGCGGGAGGCCCCTCCTGCGGGCGCAGAGGGACCGGGATGGGCCGGTGGGCTCCTGAGAGACCAGCCTTCCTCCCCACCGCCTGGTGCCACCAACTCCCGGAGCACGTGCACTCCCACCGGCTCAGGGTACTGCGCCGGCTGTGGTCACCCCCCCCCCCCCCGCACACCCCCGTTTGGGGAGGGCCCTGTCTGGGCCCCGGGGCCTCTCAGGCGGGGTTAGCAGGGCCCCAGAGTGCTGGCCAGGGAAGCTCCGGACCCTTCAGGGCGCAGGGCTGCGGCGGAAGAGGCAGGAAGCAGGGGTGGGTGGGCAGTGCAGGGGGCAGAAGTGGCTCTGGAGGGTCAGGAGAGGAAGCCCGAGCCGGGTGACCCCAGACCCCACAGCTGGTTCCATCCGACGCTGTGGCCCCCCTGCACCCCCGGAGACAGACAGGCCGCAGCCCCTGGGCCCGCAGGCCCCACACAGCCCAGCGAGGTCTGGCTGATGGTCAGAGGCAACGGGGGGTGGGGGAGGGGGAGTGCAGGAGCCCCCCACCCTGTCTCACCCCACCTCTCTGTCCCTCCTCCCCAGGCTCCCAGAAGTCTCGGCTGTCCTGGGGCCGCGTGCTTGCTGCCCCCGCAGCCCCTGCCGCCGAGGCCCCCACGGCCCCCGCGGTCCCCACGGCCCCCGCGGTGCCCCTCTCGGCGGAGACAGCCTGGGACGGGAGCTGGCGGG